CACCTGTCACTCCACACTCACCTGTCACACCACGTTCACCTGTCACACCACCTTCACCTGTCACACTTCACCTGTCACACCACCTTCACCTGTCACTCCACCTTCACCTGTCACTCCACATTCACCTGTCACTCCACGCTCACCTGTCACACCACCTTCACCTGTCACACTCTTCAAAAGTGAAATAAACCTTCATTTGGTCAGTGACAGGTTCAGGTTTATTCCCACAGACGCACAAAAGAATCTACACACGACACGAGCTTCACAAAACACGATCGATCTCTGAAAAATTAAAAAATACACAGAAAAACTCAAATCTAGTCGAGTTAAGACGAGTTTAATTAAGAAATTTACGAGGACGAGTAAAATAATCCACCAATGGAACAAGAGTTTTTGTGGTTAAAATATTTTTGAAAAGGGTCATTCCACGCCATTTCATCAAATTTCCAGAAAATCTCACTCATCATGTTTTTTAAAAATTTTGGAAAAATGACCAGCTGGTCCCTCACGATCATATACCAACCCTGTGAAGTTTTAGTAATTTTCGATCAATACTTTTTAAGTTAATTTCATTTAGTGAGGGGAGGATGTGTCCGTTTTTTTTCTCGGCTGTTTTCACAGGTCGATTTCTCTGTAAGTATCACACACACAGAGGCTGAAATGTTGTAGGTTTGTGCTCCTCTACTCTGTGTTCAAATAACATCTATCCAAAGTTTGGTATCTCAACTTATTGTCATTTTATATTAACTTAAAAATAAAAATAAAAAACTCCTTCATTTCCGTGGCTGTACCATTTTTAGCCCCTTTTTAAACTTACTTGTAGGTGTAGGAGACCCTTAAATTTTTTTGAGAAACAAGATTTGTACTAGGACTGTTAAAAAAAATCACCAAATGTAAAAAAAAAAAAAAAAATCACCAAAAAAATAAAAATAAATCACTGTTAAAATCACAGGGAAAAAAAAATCATCATCATCAAAAAAAAAAAAAAAAAAAAAAAAAAATTAAATAGGTTATGTGTGAGGGTCCTGTTAAAAACAAGAAAACGGAACATGATCTGATTTTCACATGTAATTTATGGCATGTGGGTAGTGATAAAAAAATGTGGAATAATTTTTCTTTGAAAGTCCAGAAATAGACCTTTCATATGGCACCAAACATATGTATTTTATGAAGCTCCTTCAAGTTTTAATTGTATCGTGTACCAGTGGAGGCAGGATGACAGCGCCACCTGCAGTCCCACTTCCTCAGGACAGAATCTCACTGGATTAAAGAGGCAACTGAAATACGGAAACGTGCCCACTAGGGACGATCATCGAGAGAATTAACAATCGATTATCAATTAATTATTAATGTTATTTTAAAATGATCATCATTATTATTACTATCTGCACTAATCTGCATAAATAAATTCAACTTTACGACATATAAACATAACGACTCTAGAGCCACATCAGCCCGTTTGACATTATAATGTGTTTAATGCAGTCCAATGAGATTCATTTGGTCTTCCAATATTCTATGTTATTAGGTTCTTTTTTTCAGACCTAGAGTGTTATTTCATACCTGACAGTTTCGACTGCTCACATCACGTGACCACTCTGAGGAAGACGCTAGTGAGCAGTCGAAACTGTCAGGTATGAAATAACACTCTAGGTCTGAAAAAAAATAACCTAATAACATAGTGTTTAATGCAGATTTGCGCAACTCTCAGAAACGAAACTTAAAACCACATGGCTAATTTGCATAAACTAAGTGTAGAAAAAAAAAAAACAGCTCTTGTGTCGCTGATACGGCGCGACTCAGGTGAATACAGGTTAGTGTGACCAGATTTGCGTTTGTCAAAACCAGGACACCGTACGACATTGAGCGACTCTCACCTGGCAAAACTTTTTCATGTTTTCTGTGTCCTGGTGAACTTTTTCCCACTGGACACCGAAACATTTGTGCTGCTTTGTAAACTGTGCACATGGACTCACACTTGTCCCAACGCAACGGAAAGCCTGGAATTTCTTGTACAAATCCTGGTTAAATCCACATTTGTGCTTCGGTTCGTTACAGACTGACCCACTGTTTGTGTCTCGCTCCTTCTGATGCAGAGACACATGTACAGACCCGTTTGTCCACGGACACAGACGTTTGTTCACCCTACACTACGCACAGCAACCTACATTCGGTTTGTCGATTAAAATGAATGTAATCGATGAAATTCTTAATGATCAATTATCGATTAATTGACTAATCATGCCCATCCCTGGTGCCCACAGGATGATAAACCGGGACGAGGGGCTTTTTTACTCTCACACACCTGGGATACTGTGGTGAGGAAGTGCGACTGCAGGTGGCGCTGTCGTCCTGCCTCCACCGAGAGGAAGACAGAATCAAAACCCGTTTAAATCATCTGAGCGACACGACACAGAAACATCACGAGACTCAAACTGTCAGGGATGAAAACAAACTCTAGAACCTAATAAAATATCAAACAAACGCAGTCGTCACCCTCAGACACACAGAAGGTGGACAGTTTCGGACCTGATCTGACCTATAAACCTTTCGCCGACCCATCTGGACGTCTTTAGACCGTGTTGTTTTCCTCCTGAATGCCCCGTATCACTTTACAGTTCAGAAAAAGAGCTTAAGCCCCACAGGCTCCACAAACGCTCCCTGTGCTCCCGAGAGCACTCAAGACAATGACCGAAACTGAAGGGAGGTCCTCACGCTCACATGCGAATATAATGGGAAATATACATGCGGGTCTATGACGTAAGGCTTATATAATGTTTGGGACACACAGCTCCAACTCGGCGACCTCGCTAATCTGTGTTATTAGGTTCTTTTTTCAGACCATGAGTTTGTTTTCGCACATTTTGAAGCTGCACACTGAGGGAGCAGGCGGGTGGATGATAAACTACAGTCCCACAAACTAAATATGAGTGAAAAATAAAATATACAAATGATGAATGTTTGCTTCATACGTCATTTGTGCTGGATGTTTTATTTGGCATTAATAAAAAACATTTTAAGCGGCGTAAATTTGCAGATGTGGTCTAATCTCGCGCACATTTTAGACCAGGGGTGTCAAACATACGGCCCGGGGGCTGGATCCGGCCCTCAAATTTGCCACTCAAATCTGCCAAACAAATTTATCTACGGGTACAAATAAAGCGACTAACCTATGACCACTTATTGTTACTTTTATGGGTTTGTTTTGATTTGACTTTACTGGTTTTACTGTTTTAAATTGAGCATTTAAATCCTCTGTTCTGTTGTTTTTCTTACACAACTGGCAAAACGAGAAAGTCGATTTGTCAAGTGAACAAAAGTTTATTTGGTTGAAAACGTTTCTCAGCTCATCCAGGCTGCTTCAACTGAGGGATTTTACACACTCACTACTAGAGGTGTGCAAAAAGATTAAAATATCTGTGTATTGTATCGTTTATGTCATGATCCACTATCGATATCGTGGGCTGCTGTATCGATATATCACCAAGAGTTTTTTTTTGTTTGTTTATTTTACAAAATTATTTTGTTACAGCTACAGTTTTGTTGTTTGTTTAGATCAGGGGTGTCAAACATACGGCCCGGGGGCCAGATCCGGCCCTCCAAGACCTTTAATCTGGCCCTCGGCTGATTTTCTGTTAAAATATTTTAATTATATTTTCTATTAAAATCTTGTTAATTTTCTGTGGTGTTTATCACAGCAGCGTCTCCAGCGTCTCTGTACGTGGCCCCTCCCACCAGAGCAGCACAAATGAAGACTTGTCTCTTTCCAAACGCTCTTAAAGGACGATCGTTTTGACTGTTGACCGTGACACCCTCATCAGAAAAATGTCCAACATGAGAAAAGTGGAGCCGAGTGCAGGATTTTACAACAAAAAATTGACTTATTCCTGTTTACAGACAAGTTCATGTTAAAACTTTGTGTTGAAATTGTATTTTTCTTAAAGTTTCAGGTTGTTCATAATATTATAATATTTTGTAAAAGAAAGAGTTCATCAATTAAAAAAGATTTCTGTAAAAGACCAGACCGGACCAAAATGAGTTTGACACCCCTGGTTTAGACTAATCCTTTTTGCTTCTACGAGTTTGATAAAACTTAAGAAAGTGAATGTTCCCAGACTTTTCCCAGAACCATCAGTGGAGGAGATCATCTACATATTTATACTCCGCTAATGACACTGGTCCAGTCCTGGTCCAGTCTTGGTTTAGTCCTGGTTTAGTCCTGGGCCAGTCTTGGTCTAGTCCTGGTCTAGTCTTGGTTTAGTCCTGGTATAGTCCTGGTCCAGTCCTGGTCCAGTCCTAGTTTCGTCCTGGTGTAGTCCTGGTCCAGTTCTGGTCCAGTCCTGGTCCAGTCCTGGTCTAGTCCTGGTGTTTGGCTCGGCAGTTGCGGCGTGTATATATTCATACTCTGCGAATGTTTGTGGCTCTTGCTCCTGTTCTCGGGTCTTTCTCTTTCTTCTCCTTCTTCCGGGTAATAACGCCGCTACATCACTGGATAGTCGTCCCTGATTGGTTGACACGGCGCGTCCGACACCGAAAGTTCAGCATCACCCTGGACGCCAAATTTGCTGACGCCCTGAAGACGCCCTAGATGCACACACACATAAACTTATAGACTTAGATATAAACTGGACGCCTTGAGGCTGAGGTCTAAACGGGCTTTGAGGAAGAGCACAGGGAGCAATCGAAACTGTCAGGTGTGAAAACAAACTCTTGGTCTGAAAAAAGAACCTAATAACATAAATTACCAGAAGACCAAATGAACCTTTTTAGACTCTGTAACCTCAGTGTTGTAATATTTAAAGAGGGAGTATTTCACTTCTGTGGGGCATTAAGTCTAACACATCACATCTTTACATCACCATGTTCCTTTTATTCTTTTTTTTTTTTACAATAAAAGGAACATGGGGATCTAAACATACAGTATGAAAATGTTATATTCACCCAAAACACCGCTCAGTCTCTCTTCAAATGGCTCTCCCTGCTAAATGACTCCCCCTTCAGAGCGCTATCACAACATAATCCGCTAATGAACAACTGCACATCGCATCAGGTTTGTGAAGCTGTAGCGTACAGTTTCTTATTGTGTTTGTATTGTTTTGGTGACGTAGGCTTGTGGTTGGAGTTTTGTTCAGGCTCGTACTGCTGACTCTAATTAGTTTTTCAAATAGGGCCCAGGAGAGATCACTAAATGACTCAAACATGCACGGACGACTCTCAAACTTCTTCAGACATGTTTTTGATGAGGGAACAACGTTGTAACACGAGAGAAAGCTCCAAAAAGACGTTTTTGCTGAACATCGCCGTCTTTAAAAGCTTCTCATCAGCTAAATGTGTATTTTATTTTAAACCACAACCGTCAAACTCATGAAGTCAAGTAAAAAGTTCTACGAATGTTCCTCAGCAGTTAGCAGAATGTTCCAGAGGTCCCAATAAAACATCTCATTCTTTCACCTGTCCAGCTATGTGTTTATATGTGTGTAGGATGCTCCTTGGGTTCCTTTGGTTCAGGTAGGTTCCTCAGGTTCCTTGGGTTCCTCAGGTTCTAGCAGGTTCCTCAAGTTTCTTTAGGTTCCTTGGGTTCTTGTAAGTTCTTCAGGTTCTTTGAGTTCTTGTAGGATTCTCAGGTTCTGGTAGGTTTCTTGGGTTCCTCAGGTTCTTTGGGTTCTTGTAGGTTCCTCAGGTTCTTTGAATTTTTGTAAGTTCCTCAGGTTCTTTGAGTCCTTGTAGTTTCCTCAGGCTCTTATAGGTTCCTTGGGTCCTCAGGTTCTTTGGGTTCTCGTAGGTTCCTCGGGTTCTTGTAGGTTCCTCAGGTTTCTGTAGTTTCCTTGGGTTATTATAAGTTCCTCAGGTTCCTTGGGTTCCTCAGGTTCTTTGGATTCTCGTAGGTTCCTCAGGTTCCTGTAGGTTCCTCTGGGCTCCTCAAGCTGCCGTCTCGTCCCCGCAGTAGGAGAAGCCTCTGAACTCATCTTGGTTGATCTGCTTGATGATGCTCTCCTCCACTGGGGTCAGAACCGGCTCCTCTCGAGTAAAGTCCTGGTCAAAGTTGTTCACGTCCCGTTTGGTTTTCTGCAACAACATCAGAATAAACAGAGTGAGAAAATACAAACTCAAAAAGTTTAAAGAAGTGAAATAAGGGAATGTAACAAGGACCAGAACTTCTCAATTTTGTTAAGTAAAAGTACAGATACTTTTATTTATTTGCTCTTGTATCACATGAAAAAAGTATGAAAGTACCTGTACTTCAAGAGTAAAAAATAAAAGTATTTGGTGCAGATTTGAGATCTAGTAAAGCTTCAAATGTGGGGATTTTAATAAACACTTACATTTGAAATTTTGTTCAGAAACAACTGAATATTTTTGTTTGTGTTAAAAATAAACCCTTAGCCTTTTCAACAAAAAATACTTTTACTTTTCAGTCCTGTTCAAACATGTAGTGGAGTAGAAAGTACAGATACCTCCTCTCAAAAGTAAAAGTTAAAAGTAAAAGTAAGTACAGTACTTCACGACTTTTATTTTGTTACGTTCCACCACTAAACAAAACTAAACCTGGACTAGTTCATTCTGGCTTTTCCCAATAGAAATTTGTCTTGAAATCTTCTGTGGTTTGGGATCTTCTGCATTTATTCAGTTTGGAGTTTTCTTATTGCTAAAATTCTGTCTGTCTCTATGGAGATTGATATGTTTAATGCCATATTGTGAAATATTCCTGGTGACTCAGTAACATCTTAACATCAATAACATGCATTAATCTCTAAGTATTTAATTCCATTCAGATCCTCTTACAGTTCACGTCACGTAAATCTGGGATATTTTTTGTTGTCCCAAGACTCAAAAAACAAATAGGAAAACACTCATTTAAATATAAAGCTCCTTCTGTTTGGAACAATTTTCCTTCATTGATTCGTACATTATCTTCAGTCCCTTCATTTAAAAATTCTCTGGTTCAGTATTTACAGAACCTGTGCCATTGTTTTTAATAATTTTGTTGAATTTTTGTTGTTCATCTTGTTGTGATTATCTTTGAACTCTGTTTTACTTATTTATTTTTATTTTATTTTATTTATGTATTTAATTAATTAATTAATTAATATTTTATTTTAATTTAATTTATTTTATTTTTGTTTTTCCTCAAACTTGTTTTATTATGTGTCAAACAGTCAAGTGTGTGTGAGTGTTTGTGGTTGTGTTGATTTTGTTTTGATGCTTTTTTGAATGTATGTGTCCTACTGTCTGCCTACTGTATCTGTCTTTTGTCGTTGTATTTATGAGGACCCCCTTGAAAATGAGATGGCGAAACATTTCAAGGGGCCTATCCTCCAAACAAATAAATTAAAAATTTAAATTAAAATCTCCAAGCAGGTAGAGCACCCTCAGCCAGGAAACCTGCTGCACCTTTCAAATCAAGAAATTTGTGTTTGAAACTAAGAGAAGAACTTCCCCAAAAGCCTCGTCCCAGCAAGAGAACAGGATCACACGTACAATTCGCGGTTTAAAGGGCGGCGTGATCTTCCTGAGCTCCAGGAGGCTCCAGTCGATCTCTGAGAAGAAGGGCTGATCTTTGATGGCCTCCTCCAGACCCTGGCTCTCCACACAGCCCAGACGCTGCTGAGGGCTCTTCGTCATGAACTACAAACACACAAACACACACACACACACAGATGAATTATGGGATTTCAGTCGTTTTAATAATAAAGGCTCAGTAATAACATCATTAAAACCCTAAATGCTGGGATTGATTGGACATTTGTTTTTGTAAAGACATGAGGAATTTAAATCATAAAATGCAAAAATAAACACTGTGTGATGGTCAGACCTGCAGCTGTGGCTACGACCAAAGTCTGTCTGAGCAAAATATAATATATAAAATACAGTGGCAGAGTGTGCATTTCACACCGAGGCCTTCAGACGTGCTCCGTCTGAAACAATCCTCTCCTCAAGAAATATTTTATGGTTATAAAAGCATCATATTGTACAGAAACACAGAATAAAGAGAAGTGGAGATTCTGTGCACGGAGAAATGAAGGGGGGTGCACGGTGCACAGAGAAGAAGTGAGGAGTGCTGGGGTGATAAACCAAGACTAAACCAGGACTAAACCAGAACTAAACCAGGACTGTTTGTCGGGACCCCAAAGTGCGCGTGTGTACACTGTTGGGTGACCACAGACGAAAGGACCGTGCTGGGGTTTGGCTCCGCACGGTCCTATGAGCTGCATGAGGCTCAGTGCAGCTGTCGCCCGATCGCGCTTTGTGGACACTCGCTCTATTGCTCTCTCTCAAGTCCAAGATTAGTCCTACTGTAGTCCTGGTTTAGACCTGGTTTAGTCCTGGTTCCGCTACAGATGCAGTTTGCTGCTTTGGCTGGTTCTCTCTGTCCAATCACGGGTCTGAAACTGGTATCGTTGTCGTTCGCTGTTAAAGTCCCTGGCGACACCAACTCAAACTCTGATTGGTTGAAGCAACAGTTTCATGGACATTTATTTTGTGTTCTAGTTCCTGCAGAACAGATTGTGAAGGCCTCAGGGACGCGTCTTTGACTTTGACTCTGCCTAGCAACAAGTGACGGTTGAAATGTGATTGGTCAAATGTTTTAATATGAAAATCCATGTGTGGAAGCAGCACAAGCGTCGGAAAAGCTCTGAAAGGAAGCGGACATCAGTCTGTGATTCAGAGATTTTTTTTTTACGCCAGCAGAGAAGGACTCACAGGCCCTGATGCCCACCACTGATAAAATATAATATAAACTCTTGATTTTGGGGTTAAACAGGAACTTTGGTCCAGTGTTACTTAATTAACACTTCCAAAAATATTAAATTAACTCTAGAACAGATTGGACTCATATAAACCCTGAGAAGTTGTTAAACTCGATTCTGTGAGTCAATTTTAACGCTCTACTTTTTGCTGGAGATGGAGCTGGAGGATTCACTTTGTCTGACAAAAGTCCACAGACGTTTTAACCAGATCCACTAAACGTACATACTGTATTGTTTTCCTTTGCAGTGAAATGATGAGGAAATAAAAGTTATAGATAGCCACGAGGAGGAAAACACTTTATTTTTCTCAGTGGGTTTTTAATTAACCGGTGACGATACGTGACTTCGCCCTCATCTTCTATAACGTTTTACACTTCAAACGGTAAATTAAGTGTCTGTATTTTCGTTCTTGTTTACAGCAAGAACATTGTGCAATTATCTGCAGACAAATGAAAGATTAGATGACGCTTTTAGTGGATTTTATAGAGAAAACAATTATTAAGGAGAGACTGACGCACAATAACGCAAAGACGGACATGTTTAGCTTCTGTGCTGTTTTCTATACGCTCTGTTTTATGCACAGGCTCTTTGTCTGGTCCAATTTCCTGTTCAATCACGTGTCCTAATTTGTGTGACTAGTCCATTGCTTTGCCCGGAATGTTCCACAGTGAGGCATTAAACGTATTTATTATTTTACATTTTGTCAATATGAGATGTTTTTTTTAATCGTCCATAAACCTTCAGTGTGTTGTCACCTGCTTGTTTCCATGGAGACTGAGTTTGTAAAGTCAGTAATAATGCAATAAGGTGAAACATTCCAAGCAAAGCATTAAGATCTCCATGGAGACAAGGAGATATTTTACGCTAAAAGCTAAAAAAGTGACACAGTGAAGCTTTAATTCTGTTTAAAATGACCAGATATAATATGTTGTTTTTGTTATATTGAGAATCAGTTTATTTTTCGTACTTTACTCTGGTTTGAACGTCTTGGTAACATAGGCGGAAGTGAAAACAGGGGCAGATTGGCTTAATAAATGATTAAAGACGATTCAAACATGTCCAAATCTCTCCAAACTAGAGGTGTAATGGTACATGTGTTTGTGCCGAACCTTTTTGGTGTGGGATGTTGGGTTCAATGCAGGGCTGTGCACGAGTGAGTTTGTGTGTGTTTACGTTCAGCCACTACATGTGCAGCTACATGAAGGTTCGACTCTTTAATATTCATGAGGAAACTCGTCCGTGATCATAGATCTACCCTCACTTATAGTCATGAACTCTGGGTAATGACCGAAAGGACGAGATCGCTGATACAAGCGGCACAAATGATTTTCCTCTGCAGGGTGATTGGGCGCTCCCTTAGAGACAGGGTGAGGCGCTCAGTCACACGGAAGGAGCTCGGAGTAGAGCCGCTGCTCCTCCAGTCGGGAGGAGCCAGTTCAGGCTCGGGCATCTGTTCTGATGCCTCCTGGGTGCCTCCCTGTGGATGTGTTCCGAGCATGTCCCACCAGGAGGAGGCCCCGGGGAAGACCCAGGACACTGGAAGGACTATGTCTCTGGACTGGCCTGGGAACACCTCGGGGTCCCCCTGGAGGAGCTGGAGAAAGTGTCTGGGGTGTGGGAAGTCTGGGAGTCCCTGCTTAGACTGATGCCTGCACAACCTGGCCCCAGACAAGCGGAAGAAAATGGATGGATAGACCTCATCTCTGATTGGGGCAATGCCCGCAGCGCTTTATAGTTAGAGCGGCCACCTTCATATCAATTGCCCCCCGCCTTGACAGTGCCCCTCCAAACCACGTGAATCCTTGCACAACTACAGTTGTCACACTGTGGTCCTCACTCTCACCTTTCACCAGCACAGAATCTCTGCTCCCCCACCCCAATACCTGCGACCTCTGTCTCCAACGAAAGTGTATTTTCAACCTCTGGAGACATTGTACCTGCAGCAGATCTGCACTTACTGCAGACATGATGTGGACAAGTTGTTTTTTTTCTGGCCAGAAATATGAAGATTGAGTAAAACTTCATGCTGGAACTGTTTTGTTTACTGTTTACTAGGAATTAATTTTTTATTATATTTCAAACATTTGTTGCTTTTTTGAGAATATTTGATTTAATTTATTAGTTTTACCAAGCAGCACTTTGCATTTATTGTATTTTCCCATTTGTAAAATGTTAAAACAAGTTGTTGGTTCAGTAAACACATAAATGGTTTTGCATTTTGTTCCCATACTGTACCGAAAATGAACAGAACCGTGACCTCAAAATCGAGGTACGTACTGAATCATAATTTTTGTACCGTTACACTCTTTCTCCAAACACAACTTCAGAGGTTCAGTGAGAAGAAACTACTAGAACACGGTTAAAAGATCTGAAAAGTCCATTTTGAAGAATAGCTCGGAATAACAGTAAATCTGCACTGGGACAAATCGACTAGAGCCTCTTTAAGTTCCTACGCACTTTAAGTTCAGACTCCAGTGGTCACATGACTCCAGTTCTCCAATCAGAGCCCTTCTGAGCGCCGCTGCTGCTCGGCCCCTCTGCAGCGTAAACACTCTTGGACTTTCCCACAAGGCTTTGCAGCGGAGGCGGACAAACTGCCAAGGTAAACGGAGGGGTCACCATGGAAAAAGTGGAAGAGCAAATAAACTAACTGACAACAAGGGCATTTCATACACACACACACACACAACACACAACACACACACACACATACTCACACACACACGCACGGACCACGCACTGACGGGACGCTGGGGGATCGCTGCGGTCAACAGGAAGCTCACAGAACACAGGACACAAGGGCAAAGCAGCGAGGGCCCAGAGGAGCTGAGCGAACATCCAAGTGCACTGGAGCACTGTGTGAAACACGTCCTGCTGCTACAGGGCAACAAATATTATACAATTATGAGCTGAGCCGCTACTGGACAAACTCTGTGAGCGACGGGGAAACTCGACCAGTCACAGTCGAGTGTGAACGAGCTAGAAGTCTGTGTAGGGCAGAATTTTCAGTCCTGCTCATGCCCGTGCCCGCAAAGAATTGTAATTTTCATTCCCGCTCCCTGTGATATTTTGTCCTGCTCCCGCCAGCAAATCCCGCAAGATGTTGATGTTCGCTTTCTTAAGATCTATCAAACACGGAGAAGGAGAAACGGAAAGGAATTGTCTAAAATGTGCGTGAGATTAGACCACATCTGCAAGTTTATGCTGCTTAAAATCTTTTTATTAAGGCCAAATAAAATATCCAGCACAAATGATGTATGAGGCAAACAAAATTTGTATATTTTACTTTTCACTCAGATTTAGTTTGTGCGGGACTTTAGTTTATCATCCCACACGCCCACAGCTTTCAAAACGTGTCCAGCGCCGCACTGTTTTGCGTCGGATCCCGCGGGCGCAGGGCTCTAGAACAAGCAGTACAGCGGTGCCTCACAGCGACAAGGGTCTGGGTCGGGCTATTGTGGTACCCGCAATGTTATGTGACAAAGGCTCAAGTAACCACGGCAACCACACGCCCAGCATAATTTTACAATTCATCTATGAACCAATTCATATTTACGCTGCTCTAAGAGACACTGGGACTAAGTGTCTGAGGACAGTTGGAGGAAAAGTCATGTCCGTGCTAAATCTAAAGTCAGTCAAAGGCACCGGGATCTAAACATGGCCACTCATTCAAGTCTCTGGGTCGAGCTCAGCTTCTATTAACATCACCCGGCGAGGTACAGCCAGCGGCTTCCTGCCCATTGAACATTTGCAGTAATGCTCTTTTCTCACCGGGCACAGGCCAGTACACATGAGCACAAAGGGCGTGGACTCACATATCACGTGATCTCTTTGACCAGTCAGAGCAAGAGGAGCGAGAGCAGAGCCGAGTGAAGC